TGAGTCACTGGACCCCACTGAGCCTCAGCCTGCAGGTTCAAATCCGGCTCTGCTGCTTCCTCATTGGGCGACTTGGCAAAGCGGGTTCCTTCTCTGAAACGAAAGCCTAACAACACCTGCCTTGGGGGCTGCTGGGGGACAGCCGCCTTGAATGGAGAATGCGCAGCCCAGAACTTGGCACTTGTCACTGGGGCTCAGCGAGCACCTGCAGTGCCACACCCCGTGCTGGGCAGATGTCAGCGATTCCCCCGAGTCTTGAGGATAGCTTTGTAAGGTGGACGTTGCGATGCCCTTTCACGGGGAATGGCCCCTCCCCCATCTGCTCCTTCAGAACCGCTTTATCCCCACGAAATAAAAAGCGATGGATGGATGAATGAATGAATGAATGAATGATGAATGAGACGTTTGGGCTGGAAGGAAAGGGCCGAAGAAAAGGGAAGGGCAGCTGAGAAGAGGGAACAGCATATGTAAAGGGGGAGGACCTGGTGAGATAGTTCCAGGAGTTGGCTGTGAAAGGTCACTGGAGTGAGGATGGCTAGGGTGGTGGCGGCAATGAGGGTGCGGGGGGGACGTGTAGAGGGGAGGGGAGAGGCAAGCAGGTGCCAGGCCAAGCAGGGCTTCTGATGCAGGCCGAGTCTTCTTCTCTGAGAGCACTGGGGAGCCATGGTAGGCTCCAGAGGAAGGTCCTGGGTGTGGCAAGACCCTGGAGATGGGCTGTGGCTGTGAGACCTTCCAGAAGAGTAGAACCACAGGCTTGCTAGCCAACCCCACGGGTGAGGCCACAGGTGGCGTGGGGTCTGAGGCTGCAGGCCCGCCTTGGACCAGGAAGCTGGGCTGGGGGACCGCACTGAGAGCTGGGACCCTGGCAGGAGGGAGGAGCAAGCGGGCATTCAGTGCGCTCCCGCTCGGCTTGCAGGGACCTGGGGAGGCCCCAGAACTAAGTGCCACCAAGACCGAGCGAAGGCGCGGTGTCTCAGGAACCTGGACCAGCGGACTTGTCCTTCTAGAATTCTCTGTCCAAACTCTCACGTCTAACTTTTTAAGAGCCCACCTCATTCTCTCCCTGGTGATTAGTGACGGCCAGGTCCTCCAGCTGCTGCTGCTGCTGCTATTGTTGTTACTATTATTATTTTTTTATTTATTTAAAAAAATTTTTTAATGTTTATTTCTTGTTGAGAGAGAGACAGAATGTGAGTGGGGGTGGGGCAGAGAGAGA